TTTTTAAATTAAATTATTTGATTAAATTAAGATGTAGACTAAATAATAAGTCTACATTAGTTTACACAGTAGACGTTAATGTAAGTCTACCTAGTTGTAGACTTCTTTCTTAAAGTGTAGACCTACGAAGGACAGAATCGTAAAATATACTGCACGTTTTTTGTTTGTTCATAAGGGTTAAATAGTAGTTTTAACACCCTTTTAGGTTGGGATTGCAATTGATTGAATAAGGGGTGCACCTTTAGGGTTAAAATGAATATTTGGGTTGGTTTTGGCAATTCCCCCATAAATATAATACATAATGTTAAAAGTACATTATCACTGATCACTAAAATATCATGTTAGTAGTAATAAAAATAAAATGACAACACATTTATTAATTATAGAACGACATCCAACAAGATTTTATTAAATTTACAAAATACAAATCAAATACGCTCAACGCAAACACACATAAAAATGAAATATCATATTTGGATATATTTAAATAAATAATTTTAAATATATTATATTCTTGATAATTTTAACATACTTAAAATTAATATAAAATAAAAATAAAGTAATGTTTTATAACATCAGAATAATAAATGAATAAAAATATATTATGTTAATAAAATAAACTTTACATTTTAAAGATTTCCAATTCATCTAATATTACAAAATTCAAAATTTGTTTATTACAATTAATATTTTACCATTAGATATATTAAAATAATATTATAGATCGATATTCAATTGTCAATTTTCAATTATTACACGTAAAAAATATTTTTAAGTACGTTTTTTTAGAAGGGGGGTTTACTATTTTAAGTAGGTTATTGGAGTATTTTTTCTTTTATTGAATTTATTCGAGATGAGATTCCAATCTTTTAAACTAAGATGATTTGTGTTCTATACATAATTATATTTTTTACATAATTCAAAAATCTCAAACTTGATTCTTCATATTTTATTAGTTAATTGTGTTACATATAATAGAAACATATTTGACAATAGTATAAATTTCATGGTATATTGAAGATAAGTATATAACTAAATTACACATTACCACTAATGAATTATATTAAAATACTTACTTCAAACTTAAAGTATAAAAAAATTACATTTAAAAATTAGTTAAACATAATTTTATATACAAAAAATCACATACAAATAAAAATGATAAATGTAATAAATTTAAATATATTACATGCGCGTAGTGCGGAGAAATGATATAGTTGAATTAAAATAGAATCTCCGAGGTGATCTACATAATCTTTTAACAATTTTGAATGTTTAATGAACTAAAAAATCAACAATAAAAGAGAGATTATGTGGAGACGAAACAGACTTTGTACATTATTGAATCTAAGTTTGGTTCTAACTCAGTATGATCGAACCTGACTCGATGGTAGGTTTAAACGAATGTGTTTTATTAGATCAACGGAGATGTGAGTTACAATCAGAAAAATAAAAGGAAAATAAGTCAGTACTCGTAGAACTGGCTGGAAAAATACAAGTCGACAAAACTACAACATAGTAAAATCATAGTTTTCTAGCCGCCGAGTGAGTGTATTGATTTATGGATCCCTTTCCCCTTTGCCTCTATTCTCTCTTTATAGGTATGTCCCGCTTGATCTTCCTTTGTACAAAATCCAATGGGTCTGAATTCCTTTAAATGGTTAAGCTCCCGAGCTTGTTCTCATTACTCGATACGAACGAGCCGAACCAGCATAGTCGGTTCTCGAACCTTAGCCGAGGGAGCTTGGAGCCGGTCCGTTTAGCTGTATAGTGGCTCGGACCGACCCATTTCGAACCGGACTAATGCTCGGACCGACCCATTTCTACAATAAGTCCCCCCCAATTCAATTGTGAGAGGTGTAGCCGATCTCAACAAATTAGCAGTAAATGGTCGGGAGAATAAAACTGTTGATGAGGACATTCAGCCACCGAAGGCATTGATATTCCCCGACTGCAACGATACCTCGAGAAACGACCTACTAATCCGGATAAATGGATTTGGTTTGATCAGGATTTTCTCGGTTTGTGGATGGTTTGTGTCAACTAGATCCACTTTGTACTGGAAAGTGGAATCGTCACAAGTTAATAGGCGGGAGAATTTGGCGGTTCCATAGGCCCAATAGGCATGTAGACCTAATGAGGATGTTTCTTTGGGAACTCACACCGCCTTCCCTATAAATAGGCCAATTCCTCCCTCATTTCTTCATTTTCTTTTGACACGCATGTACTTTCTCTCTCTTCCTCCACTTCTCTCTCTACTAGTTGTCGGGAGTCCGTTGTAGTTTCAGGTCATCGTTGTCGTCGGTCCTTTTATTGCTCAGCCGAAAAATGCCTCTGAAGAACAATTGTCACGAGAGGAGAAAAGCAAAGCAGTGGTCGGGCTATGGTACAGGTCGGCGCAAAATGGTGAGTGCACATAGAGCACGTTTAGGAGGGCATTTACTGCCATATTGTCGGGGACATTCACTTTTGAGACCAAGGCTTTAAACTTCTCCATGAAGTTCTGGAGATTCTTACTGGAGATCTGGGACATCTTCCACAAGTTGGAAACTGTGACTCCCTATCTAGTAAACATTATGTAATGTTTTCGGAATGCAGTGGACAAGTCGTGAAAGTTTTCGATGGAGTTCTTGGCCAGACGGGAGAACCAAGTTAAGGCCAGACCAGAAAGGCTTTTGACGAAAAGTTGACAGAAGCGGCATCTCTTTCCTCGTCGGGAAAGTACGCTTGCCCCATCGCTATGTTGAAGGCGGTGATATGGTCGGTGGGATCGGAGTCGCCGAAGTAGGTTAAACTTGGAATTTTTCAATAGATCAAAGATTGACGTCGCTGATATGCCTAGTGAACGGGGTTTTCAGGGTTGCGGTGAGGACACGGTCGATCTGCGGGGCCGAGCTCGTAACATGGTGGATTTAGGAGGTGATGTTCTACATGGGGAGATTGTGCTCGGCGATTTTGTAAGCGGTCTGTGGATCTAGATCAGTCGGTGGCTGTATGTATCTATGGGAGCCTGGTGTACGATACTGGTTGTCTGCTCCTCGGGGACTACCAGTCAGTCGGTACCGAAGAGCTGACGTGGGATCGTCGTAGGGTTGTTGATGTATCCGACTAGAGGAGTGAGAATAGCTGCTAGGGCGGCGAGCTGTTTGTTTGTCGCCTTTTATGCTTCCTCTTGTTGGGCGAGGCGGCCTCGACTGGGGTACGACGACAGGGATAGGTTCTGGCTGGTCACCGAGAGGTGTTTCTTTGAAAATCATGTTAATCTAGATAACGCTACTTTGTTTCTGCCTCATGGTGGACGCCAGCTGTTAAATCTTAATTTCGTTCTAACTCGGTATGGACGAACCTAATTTGATGGTGAGTTTAAACGAAGGCGTTTTATTAGATCAAAGGGGACCTTTAGTTATAATCAGAGAAAATAAAAGGATAATAAGCAGGTGATTAGAAAACTAGGAAAGTACAAATCAGCAAGAATAAAAAAGAGTAAAATCAATACTTTCTAGCTGCCAAGTGAGTGTATTAATTTATGAATCTCCTTCTCTTTTGCCTCCTTTCTCTTTTATAGGTATTTTATTTATCTCTCGCTATTCTCTCGTATAAAACCTAATCAGTACGTACGAGCCAAACCAAAATACTTGGATCCCAATTCCGAAGAGGGAGCTTGGAACCGGTTCATTTAGCTGTATAGAGGGATGTAATATATCTCCTACTGTACTACATATGAAGTATAAGCCATATGGTAATCACCTGTGAATTATTATTCACCCAACACACAAATAAACAAGGAAATTGATCATATTGAAATCAGTGGCCTCTCGTAAAAACTTGTTCATATAAATGGAGCATACAGAAGGTTATATATATATAAAGATAAAAGACAAATGCAACTCTTGAGGTAGTCCTGAGCATATCAAAAGCTTGGAAAACAGCGGTATGAAGACTGAATGCTGCTCAATGAAAGGTCGTTAGTCTCAGGCATTCTGATCTATATCCAGGAAAAGCTTTTAAAAATCGTCATGTAAAGCACCCCCCTAGCTTCAGGCCCTTGCATCAGATTTCTTCGCCAAGTAGTGCTCAAGCATGTCTTCTTCATCATCTGTATATCAAACAAACGAATTTGATCCTTTGAGAAACATTGCTTCAGCGTGGAACTGGAAACCAAACAGAAAAGACCATTTTACCTTCAAAGTCTTCGTCTTCATCATCTTCTTCTTCAGATTCTTGATCAGTAGCAACCACTGTTCCTCTCTAAAAATGGCGAAAGGCAGAGATGGTTAACAACAACAAGTATCTGTTTAGAAAAAGCAGTTGCAACAAAGAGTCTGAGAAATACCGCTTTGCCACACTGAAACCACTGTCTCCCTGTAAGCTTCTTCTCCTTAGGTGCCGAAAGAGCAGACTCAGGCATCAGCCTTTGGAAATTTATTCACGGTCACAAGATTAGATATTAGTAAGACAAGACAATGCTTATTCATTGGTGTATATAAAAGCAAGGGAAAAGTTGCTCACTTGGCTCGCTCAAGTGCAAGCTCAGCCTCATATCTTTCTCTCCATGCCACAAATGTCTCCAGCGTAACAGGTTCTCCATGAGGAATAATTACCTCATCCTCTTTGGAAGCTTCTTCTTCGGCATAGTCAGCTCCATCATCTTGCCCGTAGTGTTCAGTCAACCAGTCCTTTGCTGATGAGACCAATGTATACATCATGGCCATACCAAGATTTTCTGTTGCCTGTGAAAACGGTATCATGAAGTTCCTAGCTCTAATGATAGCCCACTAAGTAAATTGATACTTTGAACAGTAACATTGACTAGGGACCTTTCCAGTTTTTCTCTTCAGACAAATAGAGTTGTAACAAGCTACAAAGTTGTTGTAGCAAGAGTAAGAGAGATGGTACCTCTTCTTCAAGCTTCTCTTTCAAGATGGTGAGATCAGTAACATGGATTCCTCGAATACTGGAAGAATACTCAACCCCACAAGAGTGTCATCATCATCATATATATTTTATTAGCTCGAGAATAAAAACACTAGAATTATCACCTTTTAACATCCAAAAGCGGAACCTCGTCGGGATAATTATCAGTGTGGGAGAAAACCAAACCCAGCTGAACTGCAAAAGACAAAATGAGAGCTGTAAGTAAACGATAAAGCATATGATCAGAGGCAGAAAGGATGTTCTTAAAAGAAAGAGTAGTAACCT